AGAAGGTGTTTTGGGACAGACATTGTCTCAGCATAGTTTTAACATACTCAGCTTGAAAACTCTGAGAAACAGGGAGATAGGATCAATTGTCTAATATATTTTTCTTTTTTTTTCCCTTTGGTTCTCCATTCCCAAACCCATTATTTACATCTCTCCTAACTATGGGGTGCTCTTAGGATGTCACTCAGGTTACCTGAATTTCAAGAAGTAATACTGAAACAAATTAAACTTCTTCCTTTAAGAAGAACCCAACCACAGAAACACACACAACCCACAACACACGGATGTGCATATTCATATACTATGAATCAGCTAGAACAGAACACAGTTTAAAATGAAAAATAATCAGGCAGAAGAAGGGCACAGAGTTCAGTTGTTAAGTACTCACAAGTTACCACTCCATTCTTACTCACACCTCTCCACCCTTTCCAGATGCAGGCTGGCAGCCCAGAGCAATGGCCACCTGCAATACTCACCACCCAAAATGATGAGATCCTGCTAAACACTAAGTTACTGTACATGGGAGTTGTTTTCCTTATAAATCACCCCTTGGTAAATTCCATCTAACATACTCAACTATGCTGGAGAACAGATCAGAAGAATGTGTCAAAATGTCTCATTGTCTTCAAATTTCATATGCTGCAGAAAAACCCTCCAACAGTTCCTACAGCTGCAGCAATAACAGCAGCAACCAAAGGTATAAGGAGAAGAGGAACACCTTTTTCTTCTATAGCAAATAAAACATATTGAACTGCAGAAGTCCACCTGTTTATCAGGTTTACTGAGTACATAACATCCATCAGCAGGGATTCTTTGGAGATTCCTGTCCTGAACCATCTATCTAAGATCTAGATAGCAAATTTGACTCTGTATCACCAAGAAATAGTCATATCAAACACACACAAGAGCAGAACCACCTCAACCTTCTCTGCAAACATCACTCAGTACTGTGTGATCCTGCAGTTAGAGCTACCAAACCACTTTTCTTCCACAAACACTGGCTCTGCCTTTCCAACACCAGTAAAAACCAAAGTCTTTGTTGTTCTAACCATACAATTGGACATTATCCCCTTTCTCTAGGTGTAGCAGTGGTACAGCAGTTCAGTGGTGACCCACAATACTCACAATCTGAAAAACTTCATACAGCTTCCCATGACAAAGAAGACCTACCAGATTTCTGTATAATAGTATTCCAAGTAAGTTTAATTTAGAAGATTATGACAGCTATTTAGATTTAGGCAGGCTTTTTCCTTTTTCTTAAGTAGATGAGAAAATAAATCAAGAGAAAAAAAAACCCCCAAGAATATAAAAATCACTCCAAACTAGAGCAGAAACTTAAGCAAGTGTGTAGGACCCAAAATGGCACAGCAGACTTGTAATTAATGTTCTAGCATGTCACCACTTTTACTGCAATCACATACAGTATTTCAGTTTCTGTATAATACACACTTAGGATTACAAAAAAATTGTCTAAATCTGTTTTCAGAATAATTTTTTTGAAAATGCTAAGATTTGTTGCTATTTTGGTCACCTGCTGATTGTTGACAGACTGCACATAGATACAGCTCCTGGTACCAGGCCAAATTTACATTTAATCTGGGGAAAATAAATTCAGCATGGCTTTTTATCTGTATATTGAAGAAAACAGGAGCCAAAGTTTCACTAATCCAAAAACATGTTGAACATGATATGTTGGCATGTTACAAAAGTGGCACTAAGCAACAAGAACCACTGCTAAAATGGAAAAATTAGATTAGCTTTTTTGGCTGATCTGAGATATAACAAAGTAAATTTGTTATTATTAGATTACTAAATTCCATTACCATTTTTAAAATAAAAGGCAACCTGATACCTGGCCTCTGAAAACTTAAGAGTCCTACCTTTAAGTTTCCTACCCTTGCTCCTCTATGTAGTGATACTTAAACTGCCACTTTCCTTTTATACATGTTTGTGACTAAATTACATTCATTCCAGTATAAAATACATCTGGTGCATAAAAATGCTGCAAATAAAGGGAAAACGTCTTTCTCTAAAGAGACTTTTTCATGTCTTAAACTCTCCACTTAAAGACAACTTTGATCTCCAGTTCTTTCTCATTTTAAGTTCTGCTGTCTGGTTCTAAATTATTTGGAAAAGTACCCACCTCTGCTCCCTCCTACCCCATATAATCCATGACACCTTTCAAACATGCAGCACAGCTATAACTACATGTTAGCAAGTCTATGAGTACGGATCTTATTTTTTTAAGACAGTACATGTGGTATTTTTCAATGCATACTTATTTGTAGTTAATTCTGTGTTGACATTTTAAGTAACATAACTCGTATTCATGTTGAATTAATTCATTTCACATGCACAGTACAGAATATTCCTGATATATAACCACCTGCTCATGGAAGAAGTAAATCTAATTTAGGAAACTAATAATTAACATTACAAACTCTATCTAGTATGGTGGCACAACTGTATCATTTTCAAACTGCAACTGAGCATATTGCCAGCAGAAAAACATTCTCCAGAAATAATCACCTTCTGAAAAATAAATAACTCAGTGCAGTATTACTGAGTACTTAATATGAACCACTAAAGCAACAGACAATACCAAGGTGTGTGGGGAAAGGGAATCATACCCAGCACACAAAGCTAAAGCTCTTCTCCAATCAAGGGCACAGGAAGATACCACATGTCAAATAAATCCAAGATACCACATAATTTTAGTTGAAAAATGGTTTATTACACCTCAGTATCAGTCCCAGAAGAGTACAAAGTTTCCTATATATTCCTAACACAGCACTGTCCTACTCAAGCAATTTAAAACTTATTTCCATAACAGAAACCAACAGAAAATACTTCAGTTTGGAGTTCATACTGAGATGGATAAAGCTGATCCCTATCAGTGATGTCAGGTTCCATCCAGTATCTGTTACTTCAAATATGACTGAAATTCATAAACCTCCAGGAACACATACATAATGCAGAAGGAAGAACAACAGCAGTTTTTCAAGACACATTACGAAAGCAGCATAAGACTCATATAAACCTTAAGGACTATGACAGCAGGCAATGAATACCACTTTTGATTTAAGCAGGTTTTCAGTTTTCAGAAGTCTTCCGTTTTCCAGATTACATTTATTCTGGAAGCTACTTTTATTTGAAAGAAGGATGCTTCCAGAACATAGCAAATACATCAACAGAAAGAAAATAACCAAAACCTTTAAAATTTAAGAACATGGATAAAGAAGGAAGAAAATATTAAAAAAAAAAAAATCTACATCCATTTGCCAATGGGTGTCTGAGAGGGTCACACTCTTGGGACACCCTGCATATTGATCATTGCTTTCTCATAATGCCATAGGATATATGCAGATGCTTGCAGCCAGCTCTCAACTGATATGTTGGCCTCTGACTTCAAACAGGAGGCCCCTTTCTAAATATTTAGTTATTTGGACAACTCCAAGCAGAAATTAATTGCCATTTTATCAAAGGTAGCAAATTGCAACTTAAAATAAAACCTACGCACAGCACTAAGCTTGAATACCTACAGCTTAGTTACCAGCAGATTGCTACTATATACAAGCCTCCACTACAAATCTAGCTTCAATTAATTCATTTTAAATGCAGTGTCAGAACATTGCCATTATATGGCTGTGTGATTACAAGGAAAACCAAACACCACACACAAGTAATGTAAGAGCTAATAACTATATTATTTGAGACTCACATCTCTGCTTCAAGAGGTAAAAATTAGCGCAGTGTACAGGAGAGATTAAATGATCTTCCAACAGAACTTTGGCAAAAGATATGATGGAAGAGGAGTAAAAGCCTCCAGTCTCACACCTACCCACTCTATTCTCTCTTATAACTTCCTTAGTAGAGCTAGAACAGGTCACATCAGGTATTGCAATCTGATCAGATGAAAACACTACTTGGACTCTTATCATCTCAGCACTGCTGGATGCACTGTCACTGCAAAGAGTCCCCAGGAGAGACGTGGGTGACTATAGGTCAGGAGCAGAGAGTGGTCAATAAAAGAATCGCACTGAAAGAATCAGCAGAAACCCTCGAGATTTCGGGTATGGGCACTAAGAGAGCAGCAAGCTCTGCACAGCGCATCACGGGGGCAGAGCAGGGCTCAGGCCTGGATGCACACTGGCACTGGCAGCTGTATCAAAAGCATCATCAATCCTCCAAAGGAGAAATCACAAACAAAAGGTATCCAACTTTGAAGCTGGATTTAAGCTAAAACAAAAAAAAGTAAGTAATGTTAGCTCTGAGTACCTAGTAGAAAACCTAAAACTTTCAAAGGAAGATTTGGAGAAAGCCTTTAAAAACCCACCACACCAATGCACAGATAAAGCCACCACAGCCCCTGTACCTCAGTGCTCATGTCACAGCCCTGAAACCACTCAGAAACACCACCTCACTTCTGGTTCATCCCCCGTTTGGCAACACTACAGAGAGACCGATCAGCATTAAGCGCCCGGTTCTATTCCCCTCTCATCTCAACTTTGTAAGGAACGGCCCAAGCCGCGACATCCGCGTTCTGCAGAGACCGCGCTAGAACCAAGCCGTGCGTGTCACTGGCACCTGAGGGGAAGGAAACCCAAACCCTGCAGCAAAGTTTATTTCTCCGAGGGGGAACCCCGGTCACGGCAGGCTCCGGCTGTCACCGCCGTCAGCGCCGCGGGCGCAGCGGAGCGGGCGGCGGGGACACGGACAGGCCACCCCGGCGGAAACAGAACGGCAGGGAAGGGACACGCTGCCCGCCCGCTCCCGCCGCTGCACCGTCTCGGAAGGGGCTGGCGAAGCGGGACAAGCAGCCATGGGGCGCGGGAGATGCAGTGCCCTCACCCCTCCCGCCAGGCCGGCTCTGGGGCTCCGGCCTGCGGCGCAGCCCCGCGCGGCGGGGCTGGGTGTCACGCAGGTCCCGGGGAGGTAACAGGCCCCGGCCCGCCGGGCGCGGGTGCTCGCGGCAGCGCCGAAGGGTGTTGGCCACTCACCCACGCAGGCAGATCCGCGGAGGAGACGCTGAGCCGCACCGCCTCCTCCTCGTCCTCCAGGAAGGCGAGAGCCCGGCCCAGGCGGGAGCTTTTGCCGCCGCGGTGCCTGCGGATCCAGAAGAGCCCGCACAGGGCGATAAGCACCCAGCTGAAGCTCAGCCCCAGGTAGCCCAGCACATACACGGGGAAGATCAGCACGAAGCTCCTCGCAAACTGCGACACCAATCCCGTCACGTCCACGCTCAGCAGCGGTGGAGGCGACTCCGGCACAGGGTCCGCAGCCGCCGCGTTCTCTGCGGCGGGATCCGCGGCGGACCCCGCGTCGGGGGGCTGCTTAGCGGCTGCCCCGCTCATGCTACCGCAGCGGCGGCTCCTACTGCTGCTGCCGCTCCTCCCGCTGCTCCTCCTCCTGGGGCGCTGGCTGCGAGCGGGCAGGGGGCAGGGCGGCGGCGGCGCCTCCTCGCATCCCGCGCCCGGCCCCGCTCACCGCGCTCCGGCACCACCCGCCGCCGCTTCCGGGCCCGGCTGGCCCAGCTCCGACCGCCGCTGCCGCCGGGAGGAGGCGGCTCGGCCCCGACCGCCGCTATTGGCGCCCGGCCGCCGCACGAACGCCTCTGTTCGCCGCCTCCCCCGCCCCGGGCAGCCTCTTCCCCTCCCCTCCGCCGCTCGCTCATCCCTCCCTCGCAGGCCTGCCCGGGGAGCGCGGGTTCGCGTTGCCGCTGGGACCCGCGTCCGCTCGGGGCCACGGCCATCGCTGCGCGGCCGCCGGGAATGCGGGGAGAGGAGCGCGGCTCTGGGGGCCACCGCCAGGACAGGGGCTCTCGGTGGATGGCAAAAGCAGAACGAGCGTCCCGAGGCGTGTGTGCGCTTCCTCAGGGGCGAACCACTCTGTCTCCCGTTCTCTTCAGCTGCTTACGCGGCCGGATGGTTTCTACCTGTTACGCCTTTACAACCTTCATGTCTCGCTTTGCTCGCTGTTGCTGGGTGTTATTAAAGGAGAGATTGATCAATGCCTCGGAAGAGCCAGACGCTGGTCATTCCGCGCCTGAGTTACAACAGGTGTTTCCCGAAGTTTTGCTCACACATCCTCACATAAAGCTGCCTCCTTTGTCGTCTTGTTAACACACACGAGTACCGAGGGTGGCACACGCAGTGTCTTGGGATTTGTTAAACTGAAAAAGCTAATTTCATAACAGGCTTGTGTCCTGCATCCATTTCTTTACTTTTTCAAATAGCTTTGATGTAACAAGGAGTTTCGTAAGAGGCAGCTGTTGCTTGTCCTTAGCTATCAGGTCCTAATCAGTTTGCTGGTACACAGATTAAACTCAGCATTTACCAGGAGTTTGGGGTTTTTTTTTATTTGCTTTGGGGGTTTTGGGTTAGTGTTTTTTTTGTGTGTGTGTGTTTTTTGTTTTTTTTTTTTGTTTGGTTTTTTTGTTTGTTTGTTTTTTGTGTTGGTTTTTTTTGTGGTTTTTTGTTTGTTTGTTTGTTTTTGGCTGTAAATAGCTAACCTTTCACTTAGTGGGAATAAAGTTCCTTTCTCATCTTTTCAGATGCCAATTTTCACAAGATGTGTAGGACTTTGATACTTCATATTTGCAGGCAATGGAGAGGGCAGAATTACTTAGCCAATAGGCTGAAAAGTTATGAAAACACAAGTGGACAAATAAAAAAGTTATAAAAATTCATTTTCTTAGGAAGTGAAAGTAACCTCATCTCAATTATCCAGAGAAAGTCAAAAAGGCAATGGCATCAAAGGAAAAATTGTTTGCTTAGTGTGGCAGAGCAGAACTGGAAAAAGAATCCGTGTTCTGACAACTGAATGTCATGTTCTGTTTTCTCATCTTTCCAAAATCCCTCCATGCCTGCCATCAGAGTCAATGGACCACTCTAAGCTAAAACAATTTCTGGCCATGGACTGCTGCTTTTCTTTACTTCCTCTTTACCACTGACACTGTATTTACTCCATCTGTGTATTTAGATTACTCAGGATGAATATTCAGAACAACCAAATGATACAAAAAGATGTAACAAAATCAGTGATTTACAACTAGATGGTAATCCGAGCTTTGAAATTATAATTTACTTTGGGTCTTCAAGAGAATTCAAAACACCTACAGGCTGTAACTGTGGAGGAACTGAATGAAGAGCACCATAAGACCCTAGGAAAGCTTGTGACCTTAAAATGAGGGTATCAAGTATGATGCTCTGAGCCCTTTGGACACCAGTGAAATTAACTACGGTAAATCTGAGGGATTTTTTGCATTTATTGAATTCCTCTTCTAATTATTTACTCTGCTTATAATGTGACTTTAATGTCACTCACTCCTGAGTTTCAGTAACACCTAGCACAAATGTATGTTGGCATTGTATGTTGGCTCCCACCATTACAACCAACACTATTAATACTCTCATTTTTTCAAGTCTCTTTTGTTCTCAGCCTTGGAGTCCATTGTCCATTTTATTTTCCTATCTGGCCACACATTGTCTGAGTCAGAATACAACTGTACCACAAATTAAAATGAAAATTAAAAATGAGGGGAAAAAAGTGATTGAATTAATGTGATATTTGGCAAGTAACACTTCACCAGAATCTGCATATTATTCTGCTCTCATGTATGTCCAGCATGTATTTTGAAAATGAGCTGGATATAGAATTTAGAGAAGTTCCCCATACAGTCAAATTTAATACAATGGAGAAACACAACAGGAAATAAAAATTAATCTTGTAGTAGCATTTAGGATGACAAACATAATATAATTCCAGACCAAGCAGCCTAGCACTGATCCTGCACAGAGATTCATTAATCGATGTGGAAGTTTGATTAATCAGAACTAAAAGTGTGTGATTATGTGCCAGTCAAAGAGGAAAACAGAAGTAAGATCTTGTAGCATGAATCTGATAACATTTATCTGTAACATCAAGAGGAAGTTCTGATAAAGAGTTTACCACTGACTTCTAAGAACTTTTGTAGATAACTGACTTGGGCCCACACAATATTTTGATGAAGAAACTGGGTGCTATGAAATCAGCACAGCCATTGTTGTATAGAGACAAAAGAGTCTTGTGAAAATCAAGATATAAATGTTGCTGCTAGGGGATAAATTAGGGTTAGTTAGTTCATTATACAATTTATAATAAAATGTTGTAGATGAACACTAGTTATTGTTTATTCTAATCTTTTGGTGTGGATAAAGAGTTTAATAATTTGCTCAAGAATCTTGGAAATGTTAATTCAGGTATTTCCTGATCCTATAGTTTAATATTTAAAAAACGTGAAAATGAAAAAAAAAAAAACAGTAAAATTAAAAAATGTGTGGATTAAAAAGGTAGTCTATTGTGCATGCATTAGGAACTCCTGAAGATAATAATCTATGGCCCAGAGATTGCTCTGGCTTCTTCTTAAGCATCCTCTAATCAATTGTATCATCTACCCAGCTGATTATATTTATTTCATTTAGATAACATTTATTTTTTCCACATCCTGCCTTTTTTAGTCCTGTTGCATTATTAGAATTTTAATTAATACTTTTTGTTAGCAACGTCCATTTGTACCCATTCTTAGCCATATGTGTTTTCTTCTTCTTTTTGCTCTCTCAAATGCTACAGCTTTCATTGCAAAGTAGTGTCACCCTGTTTGTCTTTACATTGTATCACTATCAGATTGCCAGGATGATTTGTTTTCCAGTAAATACCAGCACTACTCTCCCAAATAACTTCCTGAAAGATCTTGTTTCTACATCATTTTTGACCATGAGAAAAATTGGGAAAATTCAGTTAATGTGGTAGAAAAGAAAACCTAATTTTCCCAACTTTTTTAGAGTTAACACAAGAAAACTTGTTTTGGAAACAATTTTAATTGTTACTTCATGACCATTTTCGGTAACAGTTTATTTCCCTGGAGGACAATATGTGGTATTACACCTAATTTTACCCAACAATGTTATTTCAGTCTAATGGTTCTCTCTAGACTTTTTTGCTATTGAAGAGAAATCTTTATTGAATGGAAATCTAAGAATATTTGCTGAGGAACATAATCCTTAAAAAATTGCATTATTAATGAAAATATAATTTACATGAAAATTTACCCTAGTAGATTCTCATGATGGAATACTCTCTACTTCTGTGTTTGATTTTATGCACCTGTCTCAACCTGCTCCAGGTTATCTAGCATAGACCACAAATATTTTTTGCCTGCTTCAATTTATCTAATATATAGCACAAAGAAGAGCCAAAAGACTCCAAAATACCTGAGCTTCTGCTCTTTGGAGAAAAACTATGTATGTCTGATCCCTGCTATCACCCAGGCTGGCTTCAGTTTCACTGAATGCATAAATTGTACTCTCATGACAAGATCCTCAAATATTTATTGTTCCTGAAGACAGAAATACTTTCCACTAAGATGTGTTTCTTACAAGTTTTCACAATAATTATAGTCTCTCCTTTTTCCCCTCATTGGATTCTTACAAGTTCAAAACTAAAGAAACAAACTTTACTGCAGTAATCCACATTTTTGCTGTTTCTGTTTATGAACCTGGAGGACTAACAAAAGCATTTTGACACTTTGCAGAACATTTATGCATGTCTGCTGATAGAAATATTTAAATTTTCTTCTAATCTTCAAAAGACCTCAGCAAAAAGTGGTTTAAAAAAAAGGGGGGGGGGAACACTACAAAGCTAAAAGTTCCTTTTTTCATTAAAAAAAAAATATTCCTAATAATAGAAGAGTTCAAGTTCCTTTTTTCATAAAAAAAAAAAAAAAATTCCTAATAATAGAAGAGTCTTGATTTTTAAGCCTGGTGGAAAGTTGCCATTTGTCCCTCTGAGGGGTAATATTTCCAGTAACTTTTTGGTGTAATACTGTGATGTGTCATTCCACAGAGGTGAAGAAAAATGCAATAATGCTTCACAGGCTTAGAGGAACATCAGAAGATTAAAAACAAACAAAGGAAGTTTATTACTACAGAATATAAAAAGCTGTGCTATTTTATCTTCCTGTTTTTCAGATAACAGTGCAAGTGGAGAAGGAGATATATGTACCAAGCCAGACAAGAGAAAAACCTGTAGATGCTAAAATTGTAATAAAATTCTCAGGGCTACCAAACCCCTTGTTTACAACACTTTTATTGAAAAGAAAATCTAGGGCATCCTTTGATGCTGGCTTTACACAATAGATATGTGTCATTTTATTGCCTGCATTCACTTGAATCCAACACACATTTTATAAAAGCAGTCAGACCACTGGTGTATTCATTTTCTCCACTACATTGGTGACACACTGTAGTTTATTTTAATACATGGTGGATACATTTACACATGAACAAATTTTAGTATTGTTATTCCAAGGGTGCTATTCTACCTTGTATTCTCATACAGCAGTTAAACTTCAGTTTGATCCCTAGATTTAAGGTTTGAAAAGTTATTTCCAAACCCTCTAGTGGCACTTTCCCACATCTGTATTTTTTCTCATCTTAGAGATGCCTGACTAGTATACTAT